TTTTACTGTGGATGCGAAAATCAATCGAAGGAATGACCGCTGGCTCGGCCATAACCCTGAAGATATCCCCATTGTTGCAAGAACGAAATTTCCGGCGAATGTTCACGTGCTAGGTGTTGTGTCCAGTGAGGGTGATGTCATGCCACCACATTTTTTTAACAAAGGGGAAAATGTCACAAAAGAAGTTTATTTGCGTGTTCTGACAAATGTAGTGAAGCCGTGGATGGAAACTGTGTCGGCTGGAAAGCCATATGTTTTCCAGCAGGACGGTGCGCCCGCCCACACAAGTCATTTGGTGCAAAATTGGTTGTCGGACAACGTCGACATGTTTTGGTCGAAAGAATTCTGGCCTCCCAACAGCCCAGATTTGAATCCTTTGGACTTCTACGTATGGGGCGTGGTTGAAAGGGTCACGAACAAGTCCAGACATCCAAATGTCGCATCATTGAGAGCCGCTATTGAAGCGGCATTCACCGATATGGATCGTGACGCATTAAAGCGTGCCTGCGCACGCTTCAGACCGAGAATGGAGGCGGTCATTCAAGCAAGCGGGGGATATATTGAGTGAATATGTTCTTTATGGCCTTACAAACAATGGAGCTAAACAAATTTTGTAAATCTTTTCATTGTAGCAATAAAACATGTTTAGAAAAAAATATAAAATTTGTCCGGATTTTGGCGCCGCACTCTGTACACGTTCTCAAAGATAGGTATGCTAAGTATTGCCTTGCATGAAGCAACTATTCGATTCCTCAAATCATTTTCATTTTCAATTGAGGTAGTATTGTATAAACCAATGATTTCAGATGCCCCCAAAGAAAATAATCCAAAGGATTTAAGTCTGGTGATCTAGGAGGCTTTGATTTTGACTTTGTCACTTTGTTTACGGCGAATGGTAACTCACGTGAAGCAAGGCAATATTTATGCAGGAAGATAAGATCCAACGCAATTTACCGTCTCTTCAAACATTTGCGAACATTCACCTGTATTTCGGAAACTAAGCCGTTTACGACACATGTTTATATGGACTTTTTCACTTGAAATAAACCAAAGAATCGTTCTCTCGAGTATGGCAACGTATACTTAACTAACACCCTGTATATACAGGTATCGACAACGTTTCCGAGCCCGGCGTGGCGAAATGCCAGATACACATACGGGATCGAATCCGTTTGCGAGCGAGCGTCACGTTTCCGCGCGAACGGTACACGTGCGCGTGAATGCTCAATGCATCGTCGTCCTCTTCTTCCTCTTCATTGCCGTCTTCTTCGCCGTTGTTTTCATCATTGTCGGCGATGCTGTTATTGCTGTGTTTACGAACAAAACAGGATCGTATCGCGCGTGCTCCGAAATGTCAGTGAACTCGAATCCGGCTGCTAAGTAGTCAGCCCGCCACCGCCGCGTCTCTCTCCACTTTGCTTCCCCGCGACCTCCCGCTCTGCTCGGCGAAAAATCTCATTAAAGGGGTTTCCTACATTAGGAGGCCGAAAATAAGATGATCTTTCGTAATTTTTATTTTTTTTTCATAAAGAACATTAATGTTTATCGATTTCAAACTTTCGCATGTTTTAATATCGTTATTGTAGAGTACGTACAAATTTTTATGTGAAAAAAAGTATTCTAAATAATAAAAACATAAACATTTAGTCTGGCGGTTTGCCACGACGTAATCATTTTATGTACATCCTAGCGGCTGTAATTCTTGCCTGAACCAAAAAATCGAAAAAGATTTTTAATTTGTATAGAATATCATCCTATGTAAATCTAATAAATTAAATAAAAATCTATATAAATTATAATTTTGTGCGACTTTGAAGAAAAAAATTTTCATTAGGTAGCAGCCGTTTATTTATGCAAAAACAATCGCTAATGTTGGTTTTTTATTTAATTTTTTAGATTTAACTAGGGGATGATATTCTGTACAAATTAAAAATCTTTTTTTATTTTTTGGTTCAAGAATTACAGCTGCTAGGATATGCACAAAATTGTTACGTCGTGGCGAACTGCCAAACTAAATGTTTATGTTTTTATTATTTAAAATACTGTTCACATAAAAATTTGTACGTACTCTACAATAATTATATTAAAACATGCAAAAAGTTTGAAATCGATAAACATTAATCTTCCTTATAAAAAAAAAATTACGAACGATTACCTTATTTTCGGCCTCCTAATGTAGGAGACCCTTTTAATATTCCTGAGTCGGGAAAGAAAGCGCGAAGCGCCGCGCCACCGGAAGAACTATTGGACAAAGTAAATTGGAAGAGATGTATATATCCATCAAAGGAGTCAATTCTATAATTTTCGAAATCAGCGATTGACAGAGTATCCAAATATTTTTTTAAGATTGTAAAAGCATAAAATATATATATTAATATTTACGCTTAAACTATTATGTGAAAATTGGGTCCATAACATTTCGTTTTTATTAAGCAATACATTTTTATAGATTATTTTATTTGATATCGATTTTATTGTTATAAACAAAAATTTTTTAAATAATAAAAATTGTAACTTTTTTTCATATAAATATTTTAAATACTAAAAATGACATGCAAGTTTCATTGAGATTCATCAATTAGTTTATATAACAAATAAATATTTTGTTTATTTACTGAACAATTAATGTCTGCATCTCAATGTAACTTTACATAAACATTTTTGAATTCATAAAGTTACATTAAAAAATTGAGATTTTTATCATTATTTTATAATACATTTTCATATATTCTATTAGAGTACAAATTAAAAAAGATTACTTTTTATTGAATAACTTTTGATCCAGATAGTTAACCGTATAATTTTTTTGTATTACTTTTAAATGCAATTTAGAATAACCTGTAATTTTTTAAAGTAATTTTTAACATATTGCATTTGTCTTATCTCCTTAAGGTATCTTTCAAATTGATGTAACATATTACCTCGCTTGCAAATTTATTATATTAATCGTGTTTTTATATTTATTGTGAATATTATTATTAATATTTTTATTGTCGAAACGTATTTCTATTCTAAATTGGAGATATTTTGTGACAATCAAAATGAGTTGACAAAAAATTCCATTTAGCAACTGAGAAACCAGGAGAGAAATTTTAAAATTTTCATATATTATTATATTTAAGTGCTAAACATAAAATTTAATCTTTAATAAGAACAGGATTATAATTATTTTAAAATCAATCTCCGATTTTTCATCATAGCAATTTTTGTTAACTGATTTAATCTTTTTCCCTTCTTTTAAATAAACGGCACATAGAGAAGGAATTAAATAGCGCATGGCTAGGTCTTGCAAATTTCTATCTAAAAATTCGATTACTGCTTGTTTCTATTAATGTATTTTAATTTTTTAATTTCAAATAATTCTTTATCTCTTTCTCTAGTTCTAAGAATTAGAATGTAAATATAATAAAAGATGAAGAATAAGTTAAATTAAGATTAAAATTATTTTACATTGATAGAAACGGATATAAAACAAAAAAAAATTTGAACAATGTCCTTTCGTTTTCCCGAGGCTGAACAGCAATAGGACGATACGGACGAAAAGGAACGAAAGTGAAAGTTAAATGATTCGTCGGACTAACGAGGCCAACGAGGTTGTTTCGTAAATTACGCAAATAAGATTGGATATATAAATATCCTGATCCTCTTCGTTTATTTTTCTATCTCCACCCATTTGTATTAACATTTAATATCTTTTGTGTTCCTGTTTATTATCTTTATTTAATAAATAAATAAATAAATAAATAAATATATATATATATACATACATATGAATTAGAACGGCAAATAATATTCATAAGCAATTGGTGTGTCAATCTTTTCAGGAAAAAAAACTTTTTATCTATATCGAAAAGATTTTGCTAAAGTATCTAAAAATTCAACTACATATATATGAATATATATTACAAATTTGAAAATAATTTTGTTGGAGTATCAAAATTATTATTATGTAGAACTCTCAAGCTTAATAAACAATGCTGCAAAAAGTTTTAATATTTTAGCAATCAGTTTAAGCATCCTACATAATTATTTTGATTGTCTAATTATGGTGAAATAAGAAAATAAGGAGAAACGTTGTACATAATGGCGATAATCGAAACAATCAATCAAATTTGGATCCAAATACACTCTTCTGTATAATAATAGCAGCAGCATTATACGTACCTGGAACAGTCAATCAAATTTAGATTCAAATTCGCACTCCTACTGCGCATCCGCGGGAACATTTCGCCTTATCTTATTTTAACATGGGTCTAACAAAATTATTTTCAGATTTGTATCTAGCTAAAAATCTTTAGATATATTTCCGCAAAATTGTCCTTTCCGTGTATAAATCGAAGAGAAAGATTAATTTCGTTTGCTTGTTACATCTGTAATCCTTTATTAAAGTGCATTTTAATCATGATATCTCATAATAATATTTAATAATAGAAGTGAATAAATTATAATAACTTTTATGTGTTATATATGTGAATATTAGAGGAAACCGATGATACTTTGATTGTTTTATTTATTTTAGTTTCAAGAGGAAGCATATATGTATATACATTTTTAAATAATTTTAAAATAAAACTGACTTATACACATCGTGATGTCCTTGAAGAGATTAAAGCAGGACATAGGCGTTATATAGTAATTACTTTCCTTTTTCTTATCCCTACAAAGTTTACTGTTTTTGTTTACTTTTCAATTCGTTGTCGCTTTTGATGTATATTTCATTATGGGATACATTTTGAAAACTGTACACTTCGTGTACGCGCCAAATTGTTAAGCGTATATAAATATTATTTGATGTTTTTCTCATAAGATTGTAGGATACAAACGATTATAATTATATTACTGAATAATAATGAAAGGAATAGCCTTGATTACGTTCAGATAATAGACATGCTTTCAAACTACATCCAATATTTTGATTTATCTCATGAATAATCACCTGATGTCCTTTATTTTTGTTTGTCGAGTGTTGACAAATTTTCATTAGTTCGTTGGCTAATTGTTTCGGTGACATACTGAACTTGTGAACTAGAAATTAGAAGTCGCGCGCTAGCAATTAAATTTATATTACCGCACGTTCCTATAATCAATGCAATTTCATATAATCATGAGATACATTTGGCGAAATTTGGTTACGCGTTTTAGAATAATTGTACACTATATTCATCGTTTAATTGGTAAGCGACGATAATATAAGTAGCGTTACATTATATTGACATGACACTGAGATACATACATGCACGATTCTGTGATAGGATTCCTTTGTTCATCGATGTAGCAACTCGATTGTTTTTATAACAGATAATATTATAATGAATGTACTTTTTCTTGTCGACAGTGATGAGCGGTTCGCGGCTTGGCAGAGGCCGAGGTGGCCGCCTGGCTTTGTACGGGGGCTGCGCAGTGGCGGTTATCTTGACGATGATCGTGTACCGCAACACCATCTCAGAGATGACCAGACTTCAAGAAATGCAAGTACAATGTCTTCATCAGCAAGAATCTCTCGCTGCTCAACTACAAGGTAAGTTCAATAAAACGAAACATAAATAAACTAAAGTCAGAAATTGTCAGAAACTGAAACCAATTGTCGATTGTCGATTTAATATTTCATTTAAACTGTGAGGATATTGGCATATGATAGATTGAGACTCTGTCACGTGCCAATATCGCTCAAGACTCTAATGTCCATTCCTGCCAGCGTAGATATATTTTAATCTTGGTTTAACTTACTTTTTATCTTTTTCGAGTTCTAAACATTAGAAAAAGGTGAAGAGTAAATTAAACCGAGATTAAAATTAATCTACACTAGTAGCCATAAGTCATTTATATTCTAGAGAGTAAAATATTGCAGGAAGTAAGACCTTAATATGTAGGTTTTATTATAGGATTGTAGCATTTTTCAGCGAACTTCACGAATTTGTACTCGATTTTTATAAATTTGTCAATTCCGGTTTATAGACAATTAAATTTCTCCGATTTAACAACTCAACTGGACTTTTTGGTAACGTGATAATATCATTTCAGTAATATTTGAGTACAAAGTACGGCTGGAGAAGTCTCTGGCCGAAGAAAAGAGCTCGAACGCCGCGGTGAAACAAGAGTTGCAGCAACGCGCGTCGCGAGAGAAGTCTCTGCGTGACAAGGACAGCATAGAGGCGATGCAGAGGTTTAATTCGCTTCAGCAGACCTATAAGCTCCTGCAGACTGAGCATCAGGACCTGCAGGAAGAATGTAAGAAGCGTGAGAAACAGACGCTAGATGAGACTAGCAGACTGGAATCAACGCTGCAGGACTTGCGCGCTCGCATCCGGCAGGCTCAGGAAGACAAGTCCAAAGCTCTGGAGCACTTGAAGACCAAGTATCTGGAAATAGTTGACGAGAAGACCCGGCTGCAAGAAAAGTACAACGAACTGATAAATAATAGAGACAATACCGGTAGTACCGTCGATCATCTCAGAAAGGAGATTTTCCAGCTTAGACGCGAATTGGAGAGCGCCAAGGTACATCATTCGTTTTCTAAAAGTAACATGATTTAATATTAAATTTAATTATAATACGTATAAACAGATACAATGCAACTTAAAAATAACGTGTTTATAATTATATTTATTTTATACGTAGCATAATTAATAGTTGCATCTTATAGAAAATTAAACATACGTTTGTTTACTAAGCATATTTACTAAGTTCTGATCTTTATGTTTTCTTTTAAGTATTCAAGATTGCATGAAAAGAATCAAGACATATAAAAACGCGTAAAAGTTGTGATCTTATGCATTCCAGAATTTCTATGCTAGAAGTACACCTCCTAGTTTAGTGTTGATGACTCCTCGAGCGTCAGTGTCACAATCGGCGCTGCCTAAGGAAGACTCACAACCGATCCCGGCGCCGCAACAGCAACAGCAGGTAAGTGCGCCACGGCCACCATATGTGTCTCATGATCGTCGTGCAGTCGGAAGAACGACTCCGTCGGTGGAAAAGATGAATCGAAACGATGACGTCAATGAGCCAGCCAACAATATCAGGTTCGTTCAGCAGAATGGCAACATCGTCCCAGCTGGTCCCAGCGAAATGAAAGAAATCGGTGAACAGCGCGAACCCTCAGCTAACGACTTAGAGCAAAAGCAACAGAAAGACGTTGTCGAGCGCCCGAATATTATAAACGAAGAGAAGAATGGCTTCGATGAAGAACAAAGAAAACAGGTAATGTCGCCGCCGCTGAATCGGAACGACGACGGTCCGAGAAACGATAATGTTTTGGTAGTGCCTGGTTCGCAAGCCGAGCAACCGTTGGCACAACCTGCCATCGAGCGAGCGTCTACAGTCGTGTCTGGTCGATCAAATGATGTCAAAGTCCATGCGGAGGATGACGAACTGCAGGCTCTGCAGGAGAGAGTAGATGGAATACTCAATCGTGATATGCCCAATAATGATAACGGAATTCGTTAGATTTAACTCTTTATTATGCATTTACAATTGGATTATCTTCAGCTTGTCAGGAATAGTTTGAGTCAGATTTTTTTGAATTTTAACCCGTAAATTGCGTAAAAGATTAATTTTGTATTATGCAATAATTATATAAAGAAATTATCTCTATTATTATAAATTATAAATTATAAATTGTTAATGAGAATCATTATTTAATTTATAAAATAAATCGTAATTATACATCTAATCATTAATATTAATAAATGACAATTTGTTAATTATTTATTAAAAAAGATTTTTACTGAATTACTTATGGACGATAGGAAAGATCTAATCAATTATTTAAATCAGAGTTACAATCATTTCATTCTATAAGTCAAATAAAAGGATTTCTCACATACAATAAAATATTAAATATATTTTAGGACCAATTGCTTTTTTCTAACAATTCTGTATGCTTTTGGGGTAAATAGTGCTATCATTAATATAGGATTAAAGAGAATAGTAAAGCGTTTTTCTACTTTTTTATTCATATTTTTTCGAAATATATTTTTATTGTAATCTCTCTTTCTCCCTTTTTATAGTATTGCCTTGTATCACACATATTTGATTACACTACGCTTGATAAATAAATATATGTAGCCAATGTCATAGTCTTATATGCATGTAATGAAGCAAAATTATTTCTTGTTTGAGTCATGTCATTATTCTTTTTCTCTAAATATATTAATTATGATTAGAATAATTCTTCTTGTAAACGCGTATCTTAATAAATATAATACAAGAGGAATAATTCTAACTATAAATAATAAACAAACAAAAACGAATATGCTGGATATTTGCTTGATTACTACTTTATGATTTTTGGAAAATACATTTGGCTGTTAATGGATCTGTAATTTTGCAATGTAATCTGGCAATCTGTAATTTTGTAGCGGTTTTAAAAAATTGTTTAGTTGCAAATAACATATTTATATTATTTAATATAATATTACCTATTATTAGTAGCGTTTATATATTGTTTATTGCAGATTATTCCTAATATTTACTATTCAAGTATATCAAATATATATTTGCTGATGCTTTGTGTATTATTCATTAATATTAATACGGAAGCTGTTAATATTATACATGGACTGATTAAATTCTGATTTATGGAAATCCTCATAAAATTGTTTAACAGTAAATATTATTAATGACTCTAATTAATATTTTTAATACATACTTTCTTAAAGAATCTCTAAAAAGTACTCTCTAAAGCACAAAAATGTTACTATTTTACAGATATCTTATATAAGAAGTTTTTTCAATTATTGTACTATTTACATTATTATGTAGATATTTTTATCGTTATATAATTTAAATGTTATTGGATAAATGTTAGATGTTTCAAACATATAAATTTTGTTCGTGTATATACAATCTTTTTAACCGATCTTTCATTTTCTTTATCGAGCTTACTTCTGTTATTGGATATAAGATTTCATGTATATGCGTAAAATGGCTCGAGCCATATTAAATGTGCCTGTAAATCTGTGTTCCACGATGCATTAATAAATTGTTATTACGTTTATCCGCTTGCATTTTTATTGGCAACCTAGCGTAATAACCTAGCTACTATTAGCTTTTGCATCGCGCTTTTACTGTATCGCCGTCGCTAATTAATTTATGTTCAAGGTTATTGCCTTTTGCTGCGCTAAATAATTGCTTTAGAATTTATCAAACTGTAAGAAAAGCTTGTTTTTATTTATGTAGTATAGCTCTTCTTTTTGGATTGCTAATTAATAGAACTCTCAAGTGGAATTATTTTGATATAGAATCACTGCATTAAGCACTGCTATTTACAGCTTTCTCTGTAGTTTATAATTATAATTATTAAACAATTTGATGCGAAACCACTTTTTATGCAATTATGCTATGGAAGATTTACGTATTATTGTCAATGATTTATCGATGCATAATGTCATCAAGATGATTTACGCCGAACTAACGAAAATAGAAAATATACGCAATTCTTCAGCGTATTTCGAGAAATGATAATTATTATTATAACCGGTTCTATTATAACATGTAATTACAAGAATTGAATAAGTAAAACGTCACAACAACAAGTAGTTTCCATCTGACATCTATATTATATCGTACATAATTGTGTGAAACTTTTTTCAGAGTATGGTGAGCTCACGCAAAGCGGAAAATACCACTGTAGCGAACAACGCCAATCTGGTATCACCGTCTCTTATCGACAAACCCGCGCCGCTACCGGCCAGACTACCGTCGAAGGTCAAAGTGCCGGTCGGCGTATTGCCAATACCGGAAATCATTGAGCAGAAGGTCATTGATGACATGGATAAAAAGAAGGAAGAGATTCGAGATGATGCGTCGGCAGTGGTTCGCAACAATTTACAAGCGCTGCCAAAACTCGCTCCGGTGAATGCGGTGGCTGACAAGGAAGAAAAGGAGCCGATAGTTGAAGCTGG